GCTGCGATGCTGGTGGCCCGGGTTCGGATCCCGGGTGCGCATCGAGGCACCACTTCTCCGTTCATCCTGAGGCCGAGTCCCGCATACAGCAACTAGAAGGATGTGCAGCTACGACATACAACTATCCACTGGGGCTTTGGGGGGAAAAAATAAAATAAATAAAACTAACGTCCTTTGAACTATTTCCCTTTATCTTTTATTGTTACCACTGTTCTCCTTTTCTCTTAGGCTTGAACATTTGAAGTGTCATCTTTATATCTTGCCTTTTCATCCTCCTGTATAACCAAATAGTCATAAGATATCACTTACGTGGTATCTAAAATTTGTTCTTATCACTACCATCATTTGAGCCCATATTTCTTCACTTGAACTACTATTTATTTATTTATTTATTTATTTATTTATTTGTGAGGAAGATCAGCCCTGAGCTAACATTCATGCTAATCCTCCTCTTTTTGCTGAGGAAGACTGGCTCTGAGCTGACATCTATTGTCAATCCTCCCCTTTTTTTTCCCCCAAAGCCCCAGTAGATAGTTGTATGTCATAGTTGCACGTCCCTCCAGTTGCTGTATGTGGGACGCGGCCTCAGCATGGCTGGACAAGCGGTGTGTCGGTGCGCGCCCAGGATCCGAACCCGGGCTGCCAGTAGCGGAGCGCGCGCACTTAACCACTAAGCCACAGGGCCGGCCCACTTGAACTACTTATTACATTAATCTCCTAAATGTATTTCCTGCCATTGATTTCTCTCTGTCCATTTCCATTCTTTTTTGTGTGTGTGTGAGGAAGATTAACCTTGAGCTAACCTCCGTTGCCAATCCTCTTTTTCCTGAGGAAGATTGGCCCTGAGCTAACATCTGTGTCCATCTCCCTCTATTTTATATGTGGGACGTCTGCCACAACGTGGCTTGATAAGTGGTGCATATGTCCGCGCCTGGATCCAAACCCGCGAACCCTGGGCTGCCGAAGTGGAGCACGCGAGCTTATGCCACCAGCCTGGCCCCAGTCCGGGCCCAGTCCATTTCCATTCTTTATGCTACTGTCAGAATAATTTTTTTACATCTCTCTCATCATCTGTTCCCTTGTTCCAGAATTTTCATTGACTTCCCATTGATTATAAGATAAAATATAAACTCTTGAGCATTTTCAATTTCAATCATTTCATTCAATATCAGTCACTACTTATCATTTCTTATTCCAGTGAACAAGCTTTAAAGTTGACTCTGGGATAGGCACTGTGTGAGAATTGGGAATTAAGGATGAGTTAGTACATGTCTCTGCCTTCAAGGAGGTCACATTCTAATGGATGAATTAGACATATAAATAAATAATCACAAAATATATAGTGATAGTTCATAGAAGGGGGCGATAAACTCTACTTGGTTGGATCTAGGAATATCTAGCAGAGAGGAGACAACGTTTAAACCAGATTGTGAAAGATGAATGAGTAGCAGTGAAGTACACCAGGTGAAGGTTTTAGGAAGGAAGAGCATTTGTTAAGGAAATAGTATGTCCAAAGGTATGGAAGTATTTTTACAGGGGATGTAATTAACAGTTGATATAAGAGTTTAAGGTTCAGAAGAAGGGTGGGGAATGGTAGAAGATGAAACTAGGTAGGTAGAATGCACACTGAAAGTCATGGTGTATTACTCTAAGGTCTCTAGTAGCTCGTAGTAGGGACTCTGTAAAACTTTGAGTGAGAGAGAAAGTGATCAGCTCTATATTTTAGAAAAATTCTTTGAATTAGTGAGAGATTTGTTGGGCACAGTTGTTAGCAATGATGTGGAAAATGGCTAATATTTATGAATGCTTACTATGTACCAGGTACTATACTAAGTGCTTTACATAAATTTCCTTATTCTATCCTCATAAACACTCATGGGTTAAAGTACTATTATTATCCTTATTTTACTATTAAGAAAATTAGAATTAGAGAGGTTAAGAAACTTACGCAAGATAACACAGCTGATAAATATTGAAATGGGGTAAAACCAGCCTTTCTTATGCTTAACCACTGTTCTGTATAGTGGTAGAGGAGAAAGGTGAAAAAGATGAGAGGTAGAGGATAATGCCCAGATTTCTGGCTTGGGTGAACAGATAGTATTCAGTAAGCTAGGAAATACCAAAGGAAGAACGGGTTTTTTAGAAACAAAAATGGTAACTTCTATTTTGAACATATTGACTTTAAGATGTCTGTGGGACTTTACTGGTTTAGAAGTCCAGGAGCAGTTGAATATAAGGAACTCGCGTGGAGATACAGATTTTAGGAATAATTAGCATATTTGTGTCAGTTAAAACCATGGATGTAAATGATATTACTCAAAGAGTAAATGTAAATTGAAAAGAGGATAGAAAATGCAACCCCAGTGAATATTTGAGGTACAGACAGAGACTGTCATTCTCTGTCTTCTTTAGGGCTCCTCTTCTTTTTTTTTTTTTTTTTAATAATTTTATTTATTTATTT